AGACTCCATCTACAGAAAGGGGTGGAAGCGCCTGCCTTTGCCTGAGAAGACTCCAATCAATAGACATCTGCAGTGAGACGCTGCAGATGTTTTATCAGTCTGTGGTGTCTACAGTGTTCTGTTCTATGCTGCAGTCTGCTGGGGAGGAAGCATCAAACACAAAGATGCAAGACGTCTAACAAACTGGTGAAAAAAGCTGGTTCTGTGGGTGGATTCAAGCTGGACTCAGTGAAGGACAAGGTGGAGAGATCTACAATGAGGAAGGTGAAGGCTACAAGGATCACCCACTTCAGATCCAGATCAGACTTTACAATTCTCTTATAAACAGATGACACGCGATTCCAGACAAGTTAATTTCCCTCTTGGGATCAATGAAGTTATTGTTTTGTACTTTAACTTTAGTATGAGTAACTGATGTCCATATTCTTTTCATGTAAATTAAACAGACTTCTTTGCAGTAACGTGTGCAGAGGAGGCACAGGCATCTAATAAGGATGCCTCCAGGGTGCTTTCCTTTGGAGGTTGTCCAGGCTGTGGAACGAGAGCTTGTTTGCCTGATCATATATCTCCTTAGGCTTGAAGACACCTTTTGATCCCCCAGGAGGAGCTCGGAAATGTTTCCTTGCAGAGAGACATTGTGGCTCACCTGCTTAGTCTGCTGCTACTACAAACAAGTACTGAACAAGCAGCTGGGTGGAAAGAATAACCATTGGATGTGAAGTTATTCTTTAACTGACCTGTATTAGAGAAGAACTTTATTTATCCCCAAAGGGAAATTCAATGAGTCCATCTTCTTAGTTACTCAGTTTTTGCTTTTTACCAGTCCCCCGTCCCTTTGTCCTACTCCACCCCCATCCCCCCGGCCTTGCTTTTGGGTAAGCTTGGACGCTTAGAGGATTTTTAACCCCTCTCTCATCTGCTTTTCCCTTTGATTTTTCTTCCTCCCTCTGATTCTTTGATTTGCAGCCTGTGAGCCAGTCAGCAGGGGTAAATTCAGACAGCGACTGAAGGATTCCACCCCAAGCATGACAAGATCAAACTCTATGTGTGTGTGTGTGTGTGTGTGTGTGTGTGTGTGTGTGTGTGTGTGTGTGTGTGTGTGTGTGTGTGTGTCAGATGGTCCACATCACTGAGTGTAAATGTGTGGGAGGAGGACCTGAACCCAAAGTATCTGACTTTTGTGCAACATAATGGGTACATCTACTTGTTTTAGAGTGTTTGCACATACAGAACAGAGTCCTCGGTGGGTGCACTGGTTGGAGGACGAAGAAAAGACAGAAAAGGAAAATCCAAACCAGAGTTTCTGTGACTGTGGCTCAAGATGGGTTAAGTCTCTACCGCAAATTCATCTTCCACAAATGGAGGGCTTAAAATGCAAGTTTCTTCATTATTCTGGATGTCTGATAAGAACAGAGTGCATTAACCTGATATTATTTTTTGTATTTTCACAAAGATTTGATTTGGGCTTTTTGAAACAGTGAGCATGTTTTAGAATGCTGTTCACGCACACTCCTGCACAAATAAAAATCAGTGTTGTGACGTGAGTAAATAAGACCCTGCTGCAAACTCCGGACTAACAGTGAGAACATGCAAGCTAATTTACAAACTCTGTTCTTTTGAAATGCCAAAATGCAGCGAACAAATATCACAGAATAAACTTCTGCTGAACTTTCGGAAGTCAGCGCCTTAATCTGGATATTTTCGACTTCAAAAAGGGAACATACTGAAAACCAGTACTCCAAAAGAAGATAGCATGTAAGATGGGAATTATTCTTTACTTATGTGACTTGATGATGTTCATGGACATCAGGAACTGTCGAGTTACCAATACCCATGATGCACACGAAGCAAGCCACAGCCCCACCTTATTCACTCAGGAAAGAAAATGCAGCGCTGGATGGGCACATTATTTGTTTCCATATTAAAATGCATAACCTATTTCACCAAGAATTTCAGTTATTTGTTACAGATGAGATCACTCTCTTTGTAATACTTTCGCACTTAAAGGCCAGGGTGCAGCACAGGGCATGGCCAACCACTTACCTGCCCCAGTTCCCTGATCCGCCTCTCCCTCTCTTGACCCTCCCTGGCACATATACTCCTGCTCCACCCAGTTTCCATATTATCTGAGACACCAAATGACACGAATTTCTGTAACTCAGTGTTCAGCCTGCTTATTGTGTGTAAAAGTTGAATGTGAGGTGACAAACAGATGTATGGTTTGTGAATTTAGCAGCAACTTCATGCTGTATTAGCTGTACTCAGCAAGAACAATGCAGTGCTTTGAATCCGTGTCATGTGCTGGTAGGATGTGAGAAAGTGTTGCTTCTAATATTGCAGCCACTTTTTCCTCATGAGGCCTCATCCTCAGGCTTTCCTGCCCCCCCACTTGTGGCCGTGACAAAGCTGGCTTTGTACTGCCATTGTGACGCACAGTCAAAAAATTACTGAGTTCATCTAAGCATGTTCACACACAATTCTTGACAGGGTTTTATTTTTTTTTTAAATAAAATTAGAGGAAGAGCGTTTTTTTCTTTTCTTCAAATATCAGGTTTTTATTCTGTTTTTAAAAAAAACTCATGTCTCCACATCAGCGCATAAACTGTTCAAACTGCTCCAATAAGGATTTTTAAACCTGAACCTCTCAAAGTGTTTTTTGACAACTCAAATTGACCTGAATTTTGTGAACTTAAAAAAGGCTGCCTGAGTGTGGACTAGGTCTTGCGTTTTTTTCCAGTAACCAGCACCATCATTTGATGCACCACAAGAGTGAGTCTGCCAATGTTTATTTTTTAAAATGTTAAAGAAGAAAATGTCAGGTCAGGGTTTGAAACAACTTCGTCATGTAGCCTTTGTGTTCCACCACATGGGGACTTTCTTTAAACTTTTTATCTGAACCCAACAAAGTCACCTGACTGTAATGACCTACCTTATGGGAGGTCTTTGTACCTCACTAACGTCTTCTTATTTCCCTTTTTATTTCCCTTTTCATTTTGCTGTCAGGGCCTGCATCATTGTACCTTAACCATAGACTGTATATAAGATGGACAGAGTCTGCCTCCTCTTTGGGTGAAGCCACTCTGAGAACAGCACCCTCTGATGGTGGGCTGCAGTACAGGTCATAAATCCCGCCTCCGCCGGCAAAGCTTATGGGGCTGTGGACAAACTTTAGAAATTTATTACACAGAACATACATTTTTCTCCCCCCTGCTTGTAATGTTGACATATAGTTACAGTAAGACTGGTTTGTGCCCAAGTCCTCTTTTTTCTGTACAGCTCCGTTTTTAAAAGTTATTAGGGGGTTCATGTTTTCTATGATTGACACCTGGTACAGCCTATGGGCGTTCAGGGATTGCGTAGCTCACCCGGGGGATACGCTGTTTGAGCCGAGCATCATCACAGGGACTCTCTGCGACTGCACGGCCGAATGCGCACAACGCTACTGCACAGCTCTGGTTTCAAGGAAGTGGAGAAAACCCGGAAATACAGAGCTTTTTGGCTTCAAATCCGTTTACAGGCGGAAGGCGAAACCACGTTGTCCATCTTATATACAGTCTGTGACCTTAACGCACAAGTAAACAATTCTTAATGCTTTGATTTTTCACCAAATAGAGACCAAAGAGAGACTCACACAGCAACAGCACCTTAATATGCCAACATTGGAAATGTACCTAAATTATTCTTTTTATTTGTCAGCTCAGGCAGAATACAGTGCAGCGTCTTTCTATGATATTCAGGGTTTGTGAAATTAGCATGCTGGCTGGACTGTGGAATCTCGCTGAGTTGGTCTTGCTTATAGGGAAAAAACATTTCCAGAAATCACAGTGGGAGAGCTTGGGAATGGAAATGAGCTTGAACATGGCACGCTTTGTGTCGTGATGAAATGGGGCACGGTGAGATGTTAAGAGCACGGGGATGCCATCCATGATGTTGGCTAAGACTTCTCAGCAGATATGCATTGGACCCAGAAAGCCCTGTTGGAGAGGAATCCTGTTGTCAGATAGGATTTACTGGAAAGCTTCACAGCTGGAAGGATAACACACTTCATTATCCTCCCTGGGAACCTTTCAAGAACTGCTGAGGGGCCCAGAACCCACTTTATGAGGCACTGATTTGAAGAATATGGCCAAATGGATGCAGTGATGATGGTTTGTTGCTCTCGCCCTGAACGTGCAGAATTTCTCAGTTGAGCTCTGCTGAAACATCGCACCACGGTGAAAAAGCAATTCCACCAGCTGCGTTCGCACAAGATCACGCAGAGTGAATGGATTTTCACTGACAGAGAGCCTGCCAAACATACTGTTCATATTCTTTGCTGTAAAAAGGCTTAACAAATTATCATGTTCATTAATTCCTGTTATTAGTGATCCTTGGAGAACACTTACTCTTATTCACATGGAGGCTGCTTCTATATTTGTGTATGTGAGACTTTAAATAGAATGGCCCAACAGGACCATGTTTTTTCTACTTCATTGTAGTTGAATTTCCTCCGGTGCATTATGTTCTCATTTATATTATGTGTCAACAACAACTTTGAGAGATTACAATTTTAGTTAAGGTCCGTCATCAGAGTTCCTGTTAATCCCTCTTAAACAATGATACCAATAACTGATGGACTAAGTAAATGAGGAAGAACATAAGTAATGACTACCATGTAATGACTTTATTGATTTACACAAGAATGTTTTCAATTTGTCGTCAGCATGAGCCAGACTGACCAAAAACTGGACAAACTGGACTAAAACTGCTCAAAAGAGACTAAAATATGACTCAAACTAATAGACATTGACTTTATTTCAAACCAAAGGCAAACCTCATACAATTTGGAAAATCATTACAAGTCTGAAAAAGTATCATACGACTAAAATCACTATCAAATAGTTCAAGCTCTGTGACATTGTTCCCGTGAGTCCTCTGGCTCCTTTTCATCCTCCTTGTTGGTTTGCTTGATGGACTTTGAAGCACCTGCAGGGTCTGGGCCGATTTTATCACCCAAAAGTCTAAAGGGCCATGGAGAAATCTCCCATCAGCCACCGCTCTGTTTTGTTGACACTTTTGTTGTTGTCTTGTGCTGTGGTATTTTTGGCCACAGCGGCGGTGCTGTCATTGTCATCCCTGACAGTCTGGAGGGAAGATAGACGGCAGTTGTTCAGGTGAGAGCTCAGATAAAGAGCTCAGCCAGGCGTGAACCTCCTCCTCCTCCCTCCTGCACATCATTGTCTCGCTCATTCCTTTTCTATTCCTTTTTCTCTGTTTTCTCCCCTCCCTGTCTGTCTTCTTTCTTTTGTCGGTCTTGTTCCATTATGAGTGTGCGTCCTCTTTTGTGGCCCTCCCTCATTAATACTGAACAAGCACAGAGTGCCACATGGCTCCAAAGGAATGGCTTTAAGCATCTGACTGGCAGAATATGTTGACAAGAAATCCCAAATCTCTACATTTCTCAGCCTTCTTCTTTAATTATTGCTTTGTTGTGTGCGCTCACACAGAGGAGTTTCAACAACAGAAGTATTTCCCCAATATTCTTCACTTAATTTAGGGCAAATAGTTCATTATAGCTCTGGTGTAGGAAGTGACTGAGGAGGCAGCATTTTCTGGACTGAAAGTATGAAAAATGACCTGTGGCAGTATCAGCAAAGAAGGGAGCATTCACACGGTCAGTATTTATAAAGACATGTATCTGTTGTTCATTTCAGTGTCTTAGAATGAACAGAGACATGTAGGAATTTCATGAGACAGATATTGTCTTTACCACTGTGACATCAATTATGACTTTATGCTGACATCCTACATGTGATCCAGTGATTAAGTATCAAACATGTAGAATTTCAGGTCCATCTTATGATAGTGTTGAGTATTTTCAGACTAAACTTGGTGTCAGTATCAAAATCAACAGTTTTGGTATTCAACACAGAAAAGATGGTGTTGTTGTAGCAGACCTTGTGCAATTGTTCTGAATCTAAAGGACCCAGATTCGGGTCTTTCCACTTTTATCTGTTCTTCTTTCTGTATCTCCTTTGCCTCTGTCACACCTCCACCCAGCTCCCTCCAGCTGCCCCTTTAATCCTTCAGCATTCCTTTCTCTGTCACCTCTGTTCTGTCTTCCTCTTTGGTATGCACGACCTAGCAACGATAACCAACATACCTAATGAGCAATTGGTGCCATTGTGTGACTGAGTGCCATGGCATGAAGCCCCCCTCCTATACACATGACTTTGCTCCAACAGGCAATTATTCAAAGAAAGGCCAGAAGAAGGGGCCACCAACACTTTGCCCTCACTGGGTGTAATTAATTCTGAGTGTCAACACTGCAAATGATCCTCTTCCTGTGTGACTCTCTCACACACACACACACACACTCAAATAAAGCCATATGGAAGGAGAGTAAACTCTCATAGGGCCCCCATTCTTCCTGCTTTATAATGGATTAATGCTGTCTGTCATAATGTTGATTAAGAGGAATGGATTTCAACTGGTGGAATACAGGTTTTTTCGATAATAAATCTCATGTTCGGTGGATCTGAACACCCACCTGCTTAAACTTTCCATTATATCCCTCATTTGTGAGAAAATGATTTGTTGTTCAGAGTTGGCTCCTCATTAGCATTTACAAACACCATCTTCTTTAATGATATCATCAGAAGATTTACTACAACCACTCTGCAGGTAGTGTCTTATTGGCATTTAAAAATCAAGGTCTGCTTAATGCTGCAATTAATGATTGTCTATTCTGTAAAATTTGTAGTGAGTTGTTAAAAATGTTCTTTGTCATTTAGGTCTTCATTCACCTGGGAATTAAAGGTGAATAATTCTGGTGTCATTGGAAAATTGTAGAATTCAAAAGTATGATCAATTGTAATAAAAAAGGTGTTCTGTAATCTCCCACAATGAGTGCTGAGTATACTGGTGGTACTGGGCTACAATAATACTGCTCTTGGGAACAGGACAATGGAAATTTATAAAATTAAATAAGGTCATAGTATTCAAATGCATTACAGTTTGTTGCTTTTAAGGGGGCATGGAATTGACTGCCTTTATTCCCATCAAGAGGTAGGTGATCCTGCAGGGAGGCCTTTTGTATTTACATGGAATAAAATTTTGAATCAAAAATCAAATTTGATTTAAAAATTTTAGCATCCCTGCTAAAGAGGCTTGGCTCAGACCAGCACATTTTAACTTCTCCCTATCCACTGTGCCCCTAAAAACACAGAGAAAATACTCATGAGGCACTGATCAAGCTATGTTTATGCACAAGTTAATGTTATACCTAAAAGATCTCTCCAAACAAAATGCACAGTCAGTAAGCTTCAAAATATTATGTGTATACATTTATGCAAGAGGCACAGCACTGTAACGTCATCAGTGATTTAAAGCTTAGGACATTCCAACAGTATTGGACAGAATTTAGTAATAATTAGCATCCTGTGTGCTTTACATTAAAAATGGTAAGCCTTGAATGACTGTTTTTGACACATGATCATGACTGGTTTGTATCTGTGTTTAGGTGGGTCAAGGTTGTCATTTTAACTTGACTATGCACTTCGCATGTAATCTGAGGGCACCTTTGGAAGGCATGTCAGATATGATGTGTCTTGGTGGTAGCATCATGGTGTAAGAGATGGGGGGAAATACTTATGTCGACAGCCCTTCTGTGCCAATAAAAAAATTATATTCACAACATCCACAAAATCACTGACATTTTTCAAACTAAGTGGCAGTAATTCTGCAGATTTATGAACCAGCATTCAATGCTTATACCCATCTCACAGATGTGCCAGGAAAAGAGCAGGAAAGCACTGCACCACACTGCAGACTTTAGACCCTAAACCTGATTGTTGTTGGTCTAAGGAAAGAAAAAAAAAAAAACCTGCCCAGCTTCTATTCCTAGTGAATTTTAAGACCAACACACACACAGCCACTGAAGTGGGCCGCATTCATTAACTGTAAAAATAAACTCATGTGAAGCTAAACCCTTATTCATCCCACAGTGGGGAAATTTACAGTGTAACTGCAAGTATAAAAAGGTTTACTTAGACCAGGGGCCGCCAACCTCTGGCTCTGGAGCCGCATGCAGCTCTTTCTTCCCAAAGCTGCTGCTCCCTGTGGATTTGGAAAACAGCTAATAAATATTTAATTTAAATGTATTTTTTCATTTTCTAATTATTATTTTTTTGTAATTCTAAATTTAAAGATTTTAATGCTCTTGTAACATTAAATAAACCATGTTCAAATTTTTTATCACTCAAAATATGCATCATCACTGTGGACTTGGGGAAACCAAAAACCTGTGTAAAGATAAATGTGATGTCACACAGCCTGGATGTGGAGACGCTGTGCGCTGAGGTTCAGGAGCGAAAGTCACATTAAGCAAGTAAATTTCACATTTTAATCAGCTATTATTTTTAGATTCACAGTGATTTAAATGCAGAAATACTCAGAAATGCAATTTTGCACTTATATTACTTATGATATGTCCTGTAGCATCAGGAAAATGAAATTTGAACATGTAGACAACAAGAAAAACATGATTTTCATCCAAGTGGGTCTTTCAGGTTATTTCTAACTGTTCAAAATATTTTTGTTTGCCTGCAGAAATAACATTTCTTTTTCTCTGCAGCAGTTCATTCATTTCATAAATGCAACTCACTACAGTTTTTTATAAACTTTGCATAAAGGTAAAAAAAAAAAAACAATATATGCAATGTTATCTTCATTTTAGATGTCAAATGGGTTTTGTGGCTTCCTGTGTTTTCTTTTCTGTGGGAAACTCGTCCAAATGGCTCTTTGAGTGTTTTAGGTTGCTGACCCCTGACTTAGACCTATGCAAAAAAAAAAAAGTGAAATACAAAATACAGAGAAAGCAACAACAACAAAAAACTAAAACAGTTTAGTGAACAGCGAACAAAAAAGTGTACATACTATCATTGCACATTGAGTTATACCTGAAAAATGTAGGTATTTGCAACTATAATAAATAAATATCTTGCCTATCTATTGAAATATCAATATTTCACACTGAGGAAACATGAAGTTATTGTCCATTAGTTATGCTAAAAAAAACCTGGTCCACTTGGAGCAGGACTGGGTAACAGTCTGACTGGAGCAGGAAGGAAGGACTTGCTGTTTCTCTCTGTCACACACCGTGGGTGAAAAAGCCTGCCCAGTGCTGTTACAGTGATCTGTCGGGGGTGGGTAACATTTTACATGAGAGACAACAGCTTGGCCATCATCTTCCTATCCCCCACCATCTCTACAGGGTCCAGAGGGCAGCCCGGGACAGAGCTAACCTTCCTCACCAGTTTGTTCAGTCTATTCTTGTCTGCAGTTGCAATGCTGCTGCTCCACTCCATAGAAGATGGCTCACTGCACACCAAAGGACCTCAGTGTTCTCAGGAGGTGGAGTTTATGTTGGCCTTTCCTGTAAAGTGAGTTAGTGTTGTAAGTCCAGTCCAGTTTATTGTTCAGGTGAACACCCAGGTACTTTTAAGAGTCCACAATCATAATGTCCTTCCCCTGAATGTCCATGGGTCGGTCTGCACCTGTGGAAACCAACCATCAGCTCCTTGGTTGGAGGAAGTTCTGCTGACACCAGTCCACAAAGTTCAGGCTCAGCTCTCTGTAGGTTAGGAGATTTGGGCAGTTCGTCTGAGAACAGGTGGCAGCTTGTTGTTTGGTGGGTGAAGACTGCCGTGTATAGAACAAAAAGGACAGGAGCCAAAACTGTCCCCTGAGGGGCCCCTGTACTGCAGACAACAGTGTCAGACCCGCAGTCACGAGACCTTATAAACTGGCCAGTCAGTCAGATGATCCAGCAGTCATCTGACTGACTGGTGGTCCAGTCCTGTGTGCTGCAGCTTGTCCCAGAAGCTCAGGCTGTATGGTGTTGAAGGTACTGGAGAAATCATAGAACATTATCCTCCCTGTGCTCCCAGTCCTCTTCAGCTGAGAGAGAGATCTCTGCAGTCGGCAGATGACAGCATCATCCATCTTGATGCCTGGCTGATAGACGTACTGCAGCAGGTCCACTTATGAGCTCACCAGGGGGTGCAGATGACACAGCACCAACCTCTCTGGGGTTTTCATCAGATGCAATGTCAGTGCCACCAGCCTGTAGTGGTTGAAGTCTTTGGGCTGAGGGATCTTTGCCACCAGTACCATGCAGGAGGTCTTGCACAGCTGGGACATCCTCTCTAGTTTCAGGCTTACAGTGTAGGACAGTCCGGTAAGCGACTGCAACAGCAAAAGCTGGAAGGCAAGGTGCATGCCTTTTGTGGTCAGGTCCAGAGGCTTTGAAGTACAGTCCCTCTGCAGAGCATACACTGCACTTGGCATCACGAGTGAGAGGAGGAAGAGGGCCATCTGCAACAGCATAGAGGGGGTAGAGAAAGCTGTTAGAAAAAAAAAGAGGGCCGGATCTGGGCCTGAATCTAGTATGAATTCCTGCCTAAATGCCGACCAGTGTCTATATGTGTGACGGCCCCAAAACGTTCTGCATCCTGATTTCAGCTCAGTGCCAGACCAGACCCAGAATTGGTCCAGTTCTAGTTTAAAAGCCTCGTATCCATCCCAGGTATGGCCCAAATTCATGCTCATGGCCAGAAACAGCATCTTATCTTTCTCAGATACGGCCTGGATCCATTAATCCCCTCCAGATCAGCTCTGGCCCAGCTCAGTTTCACAGCACGTATTTCATGCAAACCAATAGTGTAATTAATCAGAATTAAATTTACTGAATTCTAGATGATTATGGGCATCAAATCTCTACAATTTCTGCCTTACATACAGTTGCAATGTGTGAAGGTACCAGGCAACCTAAAATTCAAGTTGTTTGTGAAAATGGGGTGATCAGTGTTATTTTTGTCATGCCTCTCAACAATCTGCAGGTGTATCCATTCTGTGAAACAAATTTAAAGGTACCATTATTGAATCATTATCTTCAGATAAAGGTAGATGGATTATTTTGGTTTTCAAACTGGATAACACCTTTTTTTATTGTTAGAGCCAATTTGTATGGTATTGCCTTTTTTTCCATATTAGTATATTTAAATTTCTCATCCGGTATGGATTTTGGGTTCATGTAATTTTGATGTTGACCAGTAGATGGCTCCACCTGCATGTGAGGTGGAAGTGTTTCCTTGTCTCTTTAACGATTAGAGGCAGGTGTGTGAGTGTTTTGTAACTCGTGAGAGCAGACAAGTTTTTGACCGTCAAATTGGGTGTTGTAAATAAACTTTGGGTGGATTATTAGCCTAATTTTTTATTGAGTGGTCCATGAACGTGTTACTCCAATGTTTAGCCAGTTTCAGCCACGTCTTGGCTTGTAGTTTATTGTTTGTTTTATTTTTCTAGTCAAGACAATACACAAAGTCGAAAACTTTGCTCGTTAAGGACATCAATTGATGGTTTCTCTTTTTGATCTGAATGTTTCCCTGCGCGATTGAGGATGTACTCATTTAGTGATGATCATCATTTAATTGTGTGCACACAACTTAGAGTTTTCGAATGTAAATCCAATGCATTGGTGGGTAAATGACTGTGCGTAGTGCACGTGAATTAAATCAGCTGAAGCGGGCGTATCACTATTCCGGATTGTTAACACGGACAGTAATGTTCACAAATCCTCGGAGCCCGAACAGGTTGTGGACAGTTTTGGGACAATGGGAAAAAGGGAAGCTAAACCAACATACAAGGTTTTGTGTGCGACAATTAAAAGGTTTCAAAATGAAAGATCAGAGAAATTTAACAAGGCTAAAAAGTGTAGGAAAATGATGGAGGTATTCATGCAAAACTGTGATGTAAAAGGGGTACTGAGTGTATTTGGTGAGTATGTTAGGCTGTGTGAAGCAGCAAAAGGTCTACAGAATGATGTTATGTCTGTGATGCCTATGCCCCAGGAGGAAATTGATAAACAAAAAATACATACAAGGGCAAAAAAAGCAAGGGAAGAGGGCTTTCAATTTCAAGTTGAACAGCGGTTGTCATCTAAGGGTGATGTGAGCTATGTGCACCCAGAGGACGTGCCTTTATCAACAGGATGTGAATGATGATGTACGACCAGATGACAGCGCACCAAATGTGGAAAGTAAAAACTCACGTGCAGGCAGAGTGGTAAAAGTACTGCCTCTGAACGTATCAAAGCAGAGGCTGAGAGGGCTGCACTGCTTGTGAAAGCAGCATCACTGACGGAGAGACAAACTCTGGAGGCTCAGGAAGAAGAGCTGAGGAGAAAAAAGCAGCAATTGGAAATGGACGCTGAACAGGCTGCATCCGCTGCAAAACTGGTTATTTTGTACTCTGCATCAGAGAGAGGGAGACGGTCAGAAAGCTTCAATGGAAAGAAGTCACATGAGGAACAGCATACTGGCCCTCAACCAATTTCCAACATGTTAAATCCAGTAGCAAAGTCATTCACTCCATTAGCGCAAGAGCCTGTTGTTAGATCAAAGACAAAGTCACCTCCAATGCAACCACAGGATGAAGCTGCTGCACCATGGTATCAAGCCACTCAAATGCAACCACAGGGTGGTGCTGCTGCGCCATTGTATCAACCTGCTCACATGCCACCATCAGGAGATTTAAGTACAATCATGCAACATCAAAATGAAATCACAGCCACCTTGGTACAACAACAGCTCTTAATATCTCTACCATCCAGAGATATTCCTGTGTTCGATGGTGACCCCTTGCAATACCGGCGCTTCATAAGAGCATTTGAACATAACATTGAGTCCAAGGTTAACAAAGCAGATTGTTCATATTTTATGGAACAATTCACCAAAGGCCAACCACGAGAGCTGGTAAGGAGTTGCCAACACATGATGCCTGTCAGAGGCTGTGACATGGCCAAGCAGCTTCTGCAAGAACATTTCGGGAATGAATTTAATATTGCTTCATCTTACATTGAGAAGGCTTTGACTTGGCCTGCTGTGAAATCTGAGGATGTAAATGCATTACAGGCCTATTCTCTTTTCCTGCGCATCTGCTGTAATGTTATGACAGAGTTACAACACATGACATAGCTTGATATGCCTACCAACATGCGCATGATCATGACCAAGCTACCCTACAAATTTAGGGAAAAATGGAGAAAAACAGCTTATGAGCTACTGGAGCCACAAAACCGCAGAGCTGTTTTCACCGATCTTGCCACGTTTGTGGAACAACAAGTTAAAGTTCTTGCTGACCCACTTTTCGGTGATAAACAAGATCGCCCAACAAACAAGGATGGATTGAGCAACAGGAGTAAGTCGCAGTCTCAACTCAAATATAATGGCGCTAAAGGCAACAGCTTTGCTACAACTGTGACACATTTGGACTCCAAAGAACCAAACTCTGGCTCTGTCAGAATAATGCATGATTCCAAGGTTGAGAAACCTGGACATGCTTGTTTGTTCTGTTCGCAGAGTCACTCTCTGGCAGAGTGCCCACAGCTAAAAGGTGAGAAGCACCAAGAAGTCATTCGCTTTTAAAAGCAAAAAGGGATTTGTTTTGGATGTTTGTGTTCCGGTCACATGAGTGGTGATTGCCACAAGCGCCTAACCTGCAAGGTTTGTGAAAAAAATCATCCAACCATGCTTCAAAATTACAGGCCTAATCCCAGCACAAGGCAGCAGCCTAATGAGTCTTTAAGGTTACTCCAACCATCACTCCAGCCATCAAGCAAACTTGCACTTCAGCTGTCACTACAGCTTCAACACAAACGTGTGGTCTTACTGGGACCAGCAGTGGTGATAGTAAGTTGTCCATTTTGCCAGTCCAAGTAAAATTCTCAAGAGGAGACAAGATAATGCAAACATATGCCTTTCTCGACCCAGGCAGTTTGGTAACATTTTGTTCTGAACACTGAAGACAGACCAACTTCCTTCTGCGCACTATGGGACAGGAGAAGGTGGTCCCAAGTACCTTGCTGAAAGGTTTAGAGGTGTATGGTCTCAATGGTGACACCTTCTACTGCCTCCCAAAAGTTCTCACCCAAAGAAAAATGCCTGTGACCAGTGACAACATTGTCGCCCAGGAAGATGTAGTGAAGTGGCATTACTTGTCTGATGTCCAAGTTCCCAGCATACAGGCAAATGTTGACTTATTGATGGTACCAATGCACCCAGGTTGTTGGAACCTTGGGAGGTGGTCAACAGCCATGGCAATGGAACAGCCCTTCGTGACGTCCCACGTTACCTTGACGACAGACGACAATGTTGCCGTGACAACCAAAGATGCGACTGACACTTGCCTCTCTGGGCCTCTTCATTCTCGATTTATTTCGCGGCCAGCGACATCGCAGAAGAAAGGCCAACATTGTTCCGCTCCTTTTGCACACGCTTGCTCTTGAACATGGACAACAGGTAATTGGTAAATAATGATTAGATTGATAAATTATAAAACCAGCATTAATGATAGGTTAGGTGATATTGAATGATTAAATGGTTGAAGCACTAGCTTCTGAAAGTAATCACTGCTTTAGAGTGTTAGTTCAGAATAAAATGTATTGATTCAGATAAAAGTTTGAAGTAAAAATCAATTGTCTTTGTTATAAGAATAATGTGTGTGTGTATGTATGTATATATATATATATATATATATATGTGTATATATGTGTGTGTGTGTATATATATATGTGTGTGTTTATATATATGAATATGTATGTGTGTGTATATATATATATATATATATGTGTGTGTGTGTGTGTGTGTGTGTATTATCTTATACAGTATCTATGTTAATGTAGTGCATTCTTGTTCGTTTTGGCATTCCAGCGCCCACCATACACGATGCGGAACATCCATGTTCGAGTATTAAGGGTGTACCTGGATCCTGAATGCAGCATGAAGCCTGAGTTCAGGCTCTCCAGGCAGTCCTTCACTAGTCTCCTCAGAATACTCCATCAAGAGCGAGACCATGGCTGGGGCCAGCACCTGGAATTCCTAATGTTCACCTACTGGCTAGCACATGGGTTGTCTTATAAGGTCACTGCAGACGCCTTTGACATCCCCAAAACCACGGTTTTCAGAGCTATCCACAAAACAGCCAAAGCAACAAGAGAAGCCAGGAGCAGTCATTCACTTCCCACCTACACACAGATTGGAAGAAGTTGGCCAAGGCTTTGCCAGACTGGCAAGACATCAGGCATTCAACAAGGCTGTGGGGGCAATTGATGGCTGTCACATCCGTATAAAACCACCCAAAAACAATAGAAAGTGCTATTACAATTATAAAGGTTTCCACTCCATCCAGCTCCAGGCCATCTGCGACTCCAAAGCAAGATTTCTGGACATTTTTGTAGGATATCCCGGTTCTGCCCATGACACACGCATACTGAGAAATAGCCCGGTTTATGTCCAATCCTCATACCCACCACCTGGTTTTTTTATTTTGGGAGACGCTGGCTACCCCTGTATGGATCATCCCATCACCATGATTGTGCCATTCAAAAGGCCATTTGATGGGCCAATGCAGGAGCGCTTTAATAAAATGCATGGCAGGGCTTGATGCGTGATTGAACGTGCCTTTGGGCAAATGAAGACACGCTGGCGGGCCACCTTCCTCAAGGCCCTGGAGGTCCGACCAGCCTTTGTCTCCGAGGTTGCCTTGGCATGCGGGTTCTTGCACAACATCTGCCTGGACAACGGAGATGTTCCAGATGAGGAGGAGCAACGTGAAGAGGAACCGGACGAGCCTGGTCTCCCTCCACTTGACCCAGGGGGCAGAGAGAGCAGTGGTAACCAAATCAGAGACCTCCTGTGTCAACACGTATCTGCACCCCAGCAGTTACACACCGTTTTGGCTGACCAAGATTATGCAAATATCTGGTTATTTCCTTTTTATTTAACAGCGCAACCACAAATATCATTTACCTTTTAAAATGAAGTAGATCAGTTACATTTGGACAAATTCATGTTGTGGAAATAAAGCTAAAAAAAATTAACTTACTGGCCTCTGTAATTTGTTTGTGATGGATAGGCAAGCCACAGACTCAGGACTGACCTTCAACCACATTTCCTAACCCACATGTCCATTAGAACAAATATTAAACATTCATACAAGACATAACACAGCAATTGTATTAATGTTCTTTAATTTCAAAAGACAACAAACAAAAAAGACAAGTCTACACAAAATAACTACTTTGAATTATCAGCCAACTTGGCCAAAATTCCTATAAGCTGATCAAGCTGCTTCTCCTTACGGTCTTCTCTCTCCTCTTCCTTTTTTTCCAGCTCCCTCTGCCTCTTGTCCTGCCTTTCTGTGTAATCCCGGATGTATTCTAGAACCTCATTTCTTTTTCTTTTGGAGGATCCAGGTGTTGGGGTGCCCGATGTTCCTGGGGCTGTGGCTGGTGGGGAATCAGATGTAGCAGGGAATCCTGAGCAACAGCCTGATGAGGTATGGGGAGTCTCCTCATCAGGCTGTTGCTCAGGATTCCCTGCTACATCCCCTGCGGTAGAGATCAGGTTCAGTGGTTTCACTGAGTCCTTGTCCCCCAACGCCTTGTGCATTAACTGAAAGTATGGCCAGGTGCCAGGCGTCGTCTCCCCAGCCTCTGTCCCTGACCCAGTCCGGGGTAATATCAGGTCCTGTGTGTGAGAGTACAAGGGACACCATATTACATCTTTATATTGATAAACTTAATTATACTCACAGAACTGCCATTCATGAAGATTTACCAGTGTAAAATAAACCACCCATGTCCACAAATCCAGGTGATCCCCAGGGACCAAATCACCAAATACAATGGATTTACCCCGTATTTTTTTTTAGGTTCTCCCACTTTTTGGAGGCCTGGGCGGTGGTCACCTCCCCCACCAACCCCATCTCCTTTAGGATCAAACTGATGAGAAAAGAAATTGTGGACCCACTACAGCATATAGACACATACATATACCCTATAAACACACACACACACACACACACACACACACACACACACACACACACACACACACACACACACACACACACACACACTTAAGCTCTAGCTTGACTTTTACAATAGAAAGAAGGATGACAAATCAAGGGTCACTCATTCACACACAAACACAAGTTTGCTTATAAAAATGTCTAACTTACTCAAATCCTTCAGCAGCTGAGCCCCTGTCCCCTGTAAAAAGGTGGTCATGCGTTGTGCGTAACTCGATAAAGCGCACAGTCTGTGCTTCGGTCCCTGTTTGTGCACAAAACAGTATATTAATCGGATTGGATCTGATGCAAACAAAATTAGGAGAATAGTCAATTTAGCACAGGACATCGAATAAAATTTGTGGTAATACTTAGGCTGTGTCTCATTTCAGAGACCGCATCGACCTAAGTGCCCTTCTGCACCGTCGAACGGTGCATTTGAAGTGTGCATGACGTCACGACGGTGCGAACGGTGTCCCATTTGGCACGAGATGCTAAAAAATGCTAAGCGCGCTTAGCATGTTTTCAAGCGTGCATTTATGCACGCTTTCCTGCCGTCGGTATCCCAGAATGCTTTGCGTGCCGCTGCACAGCTGCGCATTTCAGGTGAGAGGCTGGACTCGCTTGGAGACACAGCGCGTCTTCAAAGAAAATACAAGAAATCCAAAAACCGCAGACAGTCATCTCAGGCTGTATGAGAGCATGATCTCTGAACTCACTAAAATCTGTAAACCAAACATCATAGATTTAGAGACGAACTGATCCGCTGTGTTACAACTATCAAAAACATTAGAAATAAGAAAGCTGACAAAACTACAGCAGAGTATCAGGACAACATTGAGGTTTTTTTCTTTTAAGATTTAGAGATTAAAGTTGTAAACTTAGGAGAATAAAGTCATAAAGTAAATAAAGTCATAAAGCTGCTTTTGTGGAGGGGGAAATGACTGAAGTTGGTCATCTGCAGGGTTATCTGTGGATGTATCAGTGGGTCATTAAGAGAGATTTTGTGGTTTCTGAAGAAACAATCAAACTGATGATGATCAACATTTGTGATCCAGAGGGAGTCGAGCTCCGACGAGCACCACGTCTCTGACACCGGCGGTAGCCTACACCTGCAGAGACACCAACACCTTATTATGGCATATGGATTCATATCATAAATTAAAGCTCAATGTCATTCACGGATATTTACGGCTGCATTGACAGATATATCCTCAGCATATTCATTTATGCCTCCACAAAAGCAGCGATTTCCTTCAAGTACACCAGTTTTTTTCCCCGTGGAAAAGACGTATTTCTCATATATTCTTTTTTTAAAGTCTTTATACTTATGACAATGTGATGCTGATGTGCCAGAGGATGAAGTATCTCCTATCCTCCTTCTCAATAGGGCCCTCATACTCCTTCATACAAAACAATCATTGGATGAATTTTGTGGGAATGATCTGGGCTTGTATGTATCTACTATTTTGTGTCTGTGCAAGGTCGCACAATTAAAACAATACATGCTGCGCTCCGCAGCTTTTTTTCTAATCAGTCGTGACGTAAGCCTGAGGGCGGGGACATTTGGAGACCTTCGGAGGGCTTCCTGGTGGAGTTGCCAAATGTCCCCGCCCTCAGGCTCGCGTCACGACTGACTTAAAGGAAACCCGCGGAGCGCAGCATTTATTGTTTTAATTGTGCGACCTTGCACAGACACAAAATAGTAGATATATACAAGCACAATTCATCCAATGATTGTTTTGTAAGAAGGAGTATGAGGGCCATATTGAGATTTAAGACTTTAAGGACTTCGAGATTTAAGTCGTGAATTTACGAGAATAAAGTCATTAATTTATGAGAATGAAGTCATAACCTGTTATTTCAGAGAGACTTGTTAAAATTAGGGCCATGAAGCATTTGAAGGAACTGTGCTTCAGTATAGGTTTCACAAACAAGGAGATACTTCATCCTCTGGCACATCAGCATAACATTGTCATAAGTATAAAGACTTTAAAAAGAATATATGAGAAATACGTCTTTTCCACGGGGGAAAAATATTGGTGTACTTGAAGGAAATCGCTGCTTTTGTGGGGGCATAAATGAATATGCTGAGGATATATCTGTCAATGCAGCCGTAAATATCCGTGAATGACATTGAGCTTTAGTTTATGATATGAATCCATATGCAGTAATAAGGTGTTGGTGTCTCTGCAGGTGTAGGCTACCGCCGGTGTCAGAGACGTGGTGCTCGTCGGAGCTCGACTCCCTCTGGATCACAAATGTTGATCATCATCAGTTTGATTGTTTCTTCAGAAACCACAAAATCTCTCTTAATGACCCACTGATACATCCACAGATAACCCTGCAGATGACCAACTTCAGTCATTTCCCCCTCCACAAAAGCAGCTTTATGACTTTATTTACTTTATGAGTTTATTCTCCTAAATTTACAACTTTAATCTCTAAATCTTAAAAAAAAAAAAAAAAACCTCAATGTTGTCCTGATACTCTGCTGTAGTTTTGTCAGCTTTCTCATTTCTAATGTTTTTGATAGTTGTAACACAGCGGATCAGTTCGTCTCTAAATCTCTAATGTTTGGTTTACAGATTTTAGTGAGTTCAGAGATCATGCTCTCATACAGCCTGAGCTGACTGTCTACTGGTTTTGGATTTCTTGTATTTTCTTTGAAGACGCGCTGTGTCTCCAAGCGAGTCCAGCCTCTCACCTGAAATGCACAGCTGTGCAGCGGCACGCAAAGAATTCTGGGATACCGACGGCACGAAAGCGTGCATACATGCACGCTTGAAAAAGAGGCGGGGGTAGTGTGGTTTTGAGACCGAATTTGAAGCGCAATTAGTATTTTGTGCCAAACGGGACACCGTTCGTGCCGCGTGGTGACCTCACGTACGCGTCAGATGCGCCGTTCGATGGCTGCTGTATCTGAAATGGGACACAGGAAGGGCACAGAACGGCGCAAAACGGCGTAAAACGGCTCAAAACGGCAGTGCACTCAGCTAAGCGCCGTTAAGCGCGCTTATCACGATGCGGTCTCTGAAATGAGACACAGCCACAGTCTTCATCAATGACCATTACGTTTTACTTACATATGAACTGCTTCTTCTTAAGCTTCGTTGCCATTAACTCCGTCATGTTTTCAGTCTGTCGCGAAAGAGGAGACGCTTGTGGCCTCGTGCCTTTTTAAATCCTGGCCCCAGCTGCGTCGGCGTCCTCCGGTAACGCCCACAATGCAATGAATTGTGGGCAATTTCTTAGCCAAAGTCTCCAACGGTACGGACTTACGGAAAGGGTGCAGAAAGGGGCGTTCCCGAGCCCTCGCTGACTTACCGATTTCATTTGGAACAACCCTCAAACCCTTACAGAGCTCACATGAACGCGCATCTAAGTCAATGAGTCAGTGAGGGGGTGGTTTGGAATTGGGCCAATGGTTCTGAAAATGGTCTTCAAGTAACCAATGTAAACAGGATTGCTGTGAGCAGACTGGAGGAGATGCTGAGAAACAAATATAATCATGATTACAATGAAAAAAAACAATGAAAAAAGGGAAGGTCAAGAGAGGATGTTCGATTCCTTAAAATCATGGATGAATCAGTACAGCTTGTGCATGGTCATTACAGTGTGAAAATGCCTTTCAGAAGAGACCAGGTTGCTCTTCCTAACAACCTCTGTGTAGTCAAACAACAGCTACTTGGATTACAGAGGAGGTTCAAGAAAGATGACTTGTTTCACAAGGAGTATACTAGCTTTTTCACTGAGATGATCAGTAATGGATATGCTGAGGTGGCGCCTCAACATCAGCTGGATCGTGGAGCTGGGCAAGTCTGGTATGTTCCCAACCATGGTGTATATCACCCAAGGAAAGGCAACTTAAGGGTGGTGTTTGACTGCGGAGCTGAATTACAGGGAACTTCACTAAACAATGAACTGCTGCAAGGGCCTAGTCTCACCAGTTCGCTGCTCGGTGATCTTGTAAGATGCAGACAGGAGCCAGTGGTGTACATGGGTGACATAAAATCATGAACACAAAGATTTCCTGCGGTTCCTGTGGTGGCCTGAGGGCAATACAGGCCTGGGGCTGGGGGAACAAAGAATGAATGTGCATCTGTTCGGGGCAGTTTCCTCTCCAAGTTGTGCAAGTTATGCACTTAAGAAGGCAGCTGATTGAAGACAATCGTGACCACTTTGCAGCAGATGTTGTGGACACGATCAAAAGAAATTTCTATGTTGATGATTGTTTTAAGTCTACCCACTAACGAAGAAGCAGTGATCATGGTCCACGCTCTGTCAGAGATTTGTCGGAGAGGAGGCTTCACCTTGACCAGGTGGACAAGCAACAGTCAGTGGTCAGTGCTGCAGTCAGTTTGCAGATTGCACAATGCAAGGGACTCCAAAGAGTTGAATCTGGACAGAGATGAGCTTCCGATGGAGAGAGCATTAGGGCTACTGTGGTGTGTTGAAACAGACTCCTTCAAGTTCAAAATGGTGAAGAAGAACCAGCGTCATACCAGGAGAGGTTTGCTTTTCATCTTGAGTTCGGTATATGATCCCCTGGGCTTTCTTAGCCCAGTTACACTGCCTGCCAAGTCAATGCTGCAGGAACTCTGCAGAAGAGGGTGCAACTAGGATGATAAGATTCCGGAGGATCTTGAGCCCAAATGGAGAACATGGATGAAGGAACCGGAAAGGATGACGTCATTCAAAGTTTACAGATGTGTTAAACCCAAAAACTTTGGATGTCCCATTCATGCAAAATTGTACCACTTCTCTGATGCTAGTGAACATGGATTTGGCACTGTTACCTACCTCAGGCTGCAGAACAGTGGGAACAGCATCCATGTTGCATTTATGCTGGGAAAAGCAAGAGTTAAGCCCCTAAAACAAATAACCATTCCCCGTCTTGAACTGACAGCTGCGGT